AGTAGCACGATACGACGTAGAAGGAGAAGCCGGGTGCCCGCACTTCCGCGCACGCACAGTGCGCGGTGCTGAGCTGCGAGATTTCCATGGTCTGGAACGAGGGGTTTGAAACCGCCACTGCAGCCCACGGACGTTGCGAGCGTGCAGCGGCAACTCTCGTTCCCTGCTCTAGTCCGAGAATGGCGAAACTCGAGCCTTGCTTGCGGACGTGCATTTCCTGCAAGAGCAGGACGTCCAGTCGCTTCTCGGCTACGAGCTGACGGACTTCGGCACTAACCACAGCTGAACGCCTCATGTTCAGCTGCATAATCCTAATGCCCGTGGATCCTAGCGAAGGAGAGGAATCACCTAGAGCTGGTTGAGGGCGGTTTTCAAGCGGGCGATCACGATTCGCGGACGCGGACGCGATTTCTACTTTATTCTGCCTCACCCGGTCATAAGGATCCGGCGTGAGCATTTCATCGCATTTAACCAACCTAACCGAGACAGCACGAAAGCTGCGACTTTGAGACAGCCTTCCAACGGCGGTAACCAAAGCCACCGGCGCGCCCGCCGTAGACGCGCCGGCTTGGACATCATCACTCAGCCCATCACTCGATGACGACAAGGGGGGAGCCTGGGACCGTACCCCCCCCCCTCCATGCCGACGCGGCGTTACCGACCCACTGCAGGTTTTCTCTTTTCTTTTGCCACTCATTTTTTGTTGGAGGGTATATCGGGAACCCACAACTTGGCGGCCCTTCGGGCACGCTGTCTCGTGAGAGGCAATGAAAAGAGGAAGAAGAAGAAGAAGAAGAAGAGGAAGAAGAGAAAGGAAAAGAGTCACAGTGAGGGATGGTCAGAGCCATGCCTAAACTACACTGCTCCCTTTAGGAACCTGAAAATTAAAGGTACTTCCAGTTCCGTCGACTCTGCCGCCGAAGCGGAGGGACGCAGGGCCCGGTAGGTTGTTGTGGCAGCCCATGCCCTCCCTTCCTGTATCACGGATGCAACGAAGGGGGGCGGAAGGCTAAAGGCCGCCAAAGGTAGGGGATGGGAAGGGGAGACGTGTGGAGAGTTTTTAGGTTTGGCGCCGCTAGCGTCATGGCGGTCTCGCCCAGGGTCGACGGCCGCGGCGCCGAGCCAATTATGTGCTCACGGCAATGCTGTATTGTCTTCTGCACCTGAAAAGAAAAGAACCGCCGGTTCCGTCGGCCCTACCGCCGAAGCGGAGGGACGCAGGACCCGGTAGGTTGTGAAGGCAGCCTCTGCCTCCTCCCCTATATCACCGATGCAGCGGAGGGAGGCGGAGGATGATGGGTTGCTCCAGTGTGGGATATCTCTCCGAGAGGTGTAGGGAAGAGGGGGAGAGAGGGGGGAGAATAGCGACGAGGCTGGGCGGCTCCTTTTCCAGTCCCGGTATCCGACCCAACTCGGTTGTCTGCACGGATTTCATATCGCTCGAGTCGCTCAACTACTGGTCCTACCAAGGTGTCGCCCTGTCCCGCTCCCGCTGGGAAGGGAAGGAAGCGGCACGGCTGGGTGGCACTCCTTCTCGCCCCAGTGCCCGAACAGTATGGACTGTCTCTGCGGATTTCATACCGCTCGAGTCCTCCGGATACCGGGACCTCCGGAGCGTCACCCTGTCCCGTTGCCGCTGGGAAAAGCCCGTCCTTTTTTGGCCCCACATCTCACCATGGACTGGGCACGTGGACGGAGGGAAGAGTCCGTCCTTTGGGACGCACGGGCAGCCAGGGCCCCGTCGACCGCCTGGACGTGGCGGCGTCCAGACGTTGCCCGACTATCACCACGCGGAGGTGGGATTGGCTAATGGGAGCAGTGGGGGATGCTCGAGGCATGCCTAGACGTCGCTCCCTTTGAGAGTCTTGTCTGTCAACAGAACCTTCGGTGTCCCCCAGCACGATAACATGAGATCCTCGATAGCTGCCCGTATGAGCTTTCCGTTCGCGACTCGCAAGGCACGGCACTCTACCCATTTCGAGAATAAACTAAAAGAATCACTAAATCTTGAATCACTAAAAGGTACGAATAACCGGCCTTGCTCCGCGGCAACGGATCCATAATATCGGCAGCGACCACTGTCCATGGTCTCTCGATAACCCTACGCCCCATAAGACCTGTGGGAGCGTGCTGGTCCACCTTAGTTCGTTGACAGACGTCGCATTTCCTAACATAACCGACGATATCGCGAAACATGTTGGACCAATAATAGGCGACGGCAAGACGATGAAAAGTCTTGTCGACTTCTAAATGACCCGCTTGAGGATGATCGTGGGACTCCTGGAGTGCTTCCCCCCGCAACTTGCGCGGAAGCACCCACTTCCACCGATCGAGATCCTCCACCAAACCATTAATTATCTTTGTCGGTCTAAGGAACTACAGGCGATCATCGACAATCCGCCACGTCGGAAACCGCTTCAAATCTTTCGCGATGTCACTAAATCTCTTCTTATATCACTCGTCGGTAGTTCCACTAAGTATTTCGTTGATATCGATAACGCTCGCCATCGCGACGGCCATCAAGGGGGTTTTGGAATCCCCCTCGTACATTCGCGAGAGCGCGTTGGGAACGCTCCCTTCCTATGAACGATTTCGTAATCGTATTCTAAAAGCTTTAACGCCCAGTGCGCAAGACGACCCGTGGGGTTGCTCAAATTGTGCAACTATCGCAAACTTCTATGATCGGTAATAACGGTAAAACGGTAACCTTCGAGATACGGTTGGAATTTTTTTATTGCCCAGACGATCGCTAAACATTCGAGCTCCGTCGTGCTATATTTTTTTTCGGCATCCGTGAGCGTTCGGCTGGCGTACGCAATAACACACTCGACATTGTCGATCGTTTGCGTCAACACCGCGCCTAAGCTCACGGTACTTGCTTCTGTCTGTAGCACGAACGGTAGCTCGCAATTCGGACACGATAATATCGGCGCAGTGGTCAAATCCGCTCGGGTCTTCTCAAAAGCAGTCTTTTGATCAATATCCCACTCCCAACGTTTGCCTTTACGCAGCAAACGCGTGAGCGATTCACCAACAGTCGCGAAATTCGGTAGAAAGCGACGATATCACGACGGCGTATCTAAAAAGCGACGAAGCTGTTTTAAGTTGGTAGGCGCCGGGTACTCGAGAAGAGGCTGTACTTTCTCGTCGTTGACTCTCAAACCGTCTCAATGCACTAAAAATCCGAGATATTTCACTTCCAAGCGGCAAAATTCACTCTTTTCCACGTTAATAGTTAAACTGGCAGAATTTATTTTCGCAAAGACGCGCGACAGCCATTCGAGATGTTCGAACGTCGAGGTCACTACAATATCATCGAGATAAACGAATGCGTGGGGCTCCATTTCGGGACCGACTAATTTATCTAGCAACCGTTGGAAGATTGCTGGAACCCTCGATAACCCGTACGGCATTCGCGTGAAGTGGTAGTGCCCCTTTTCCGGCACGGAAAACGCGGTAATTTCTCGACTTTCTTTCGCTAACGGTATCTGAAAATAAGCTTAGTTCAAATCGATAGTTGAAATATAACGTAACTTATCGAGAATACCCGTCATATTCGATAGTGGGTACGCGTCCTTCTTTGAGACGTTGTTTACTTTGCGAAAATCGATACAAAAATGGTACTTACCGCTCGGTTTCTTAACCATCACGATCGGATTCGACCACTCGCTCTTCGAAGTCTCTATAATTCCGTTTTCTAACATTTTGTCTACTTCGCCACGGATCGCCTTTTGCACTTTCGGCGACACTAAATAACATCGCTATCGAATCGGCGAGTGAGTCCCGACGTCGATACGGTATTCGGTAAGTGACGTGACGCCGGGACTTTCGACAGCGGTCGGTACGATATTCTCTAGAAATTCCTTTAATCTTTGATCTAAATGCGATAATTCCGAGATCCCGCAACAACGATTTTTTTGTTCGCGCTCGTTATAGAAAGGATATCGGATTGTTGCGTCACTCGCAAAGGACCACTCGTTCCGCAAAAAATCAATAAGTACACCAAAAGTAGCGAGAAAGTCCATCCCGATAACAACCGGGAATGCGAGACTTGGCAACAAGCCGACGGTAATCGTACGCGTTTGTCTCTGCAATGCGATAACGATATCTGTCGATTCACTTATCGATACCAATTTCCCGTCCGCCAAGCGAATGCGGGAATCGGAGTCGTGCGAGATCGGCAGTTCTAACTCTCGGATTAGGTCGATATCTTCTTCACCAAAAATGGTTCGATCAGAACCTGTATCGACCAATCCGAGTAAACAGCTCTCATCAACAAAAAATTCTAAATAATGCTGGGACGCACGCTCACTTACTTAACGCGCACCGTACGATCCGATAATTTTCTGATTTAATTAGCGGGTCTCGGAATCGGGAGAAGACGTAGGGACCCGGTCTACCGTCTTCCTCTCCCGTTTCCCGCGCACGTTCGCACCGTCTGCTGTCCGCGTCCACAGCGGTAACAGTGGACGCGCGGGGGCTCGCGACACTCACGCGAGAAGTGACCCGCCGCGTTGCAGTTTCAACATTTCGCTGTTCTGTTCCGCGACGTTGGTCATGAGGTGGAGGCCTCCGCGGTTTCCCGCGGAGTCCCACTCCTCGCCCCCACCCCCGCTCCTCCTGTTTGGGCGGCTAGTGGTCGGGTCGCCCTTGCAAGTGTCGGTGGGGTCGTCTTCTCAGGACGACGCGTCATGCCGTCGGGTCGCGGACGCTCTCCTTTACGCGCGGCTCCCCTGCACACCAAAATCTGGCTGTGTCTCGGCCGTCATCGTCGTCGACGGCCTTGACGAACGCGGTGGCGGCCTGTACGCGAAGTCGGGGAATGTCGATTGTTCGGGTGGCGGCGGCGCGCGATATTGACTCGCGGCGAGGTAACTACGCTCTACCCTCATCACGAGCCTCTCGAAAGCGTCAAAATCGATAAAATCGTCGCGATGGACGGTGATTTGGAGGCGCGGGAGCATATTTCGGTGCGCGTAATTTAATTGCTCGACCGGGCTTTAAGGTGGATCGAGCCGACCGAACAATCCCAGGAGGCAGGTGAGGTAATCCGCCACAGGTTCCTGTTCACCCTGCGTGCGACGCATAATCTCGTCGCGCAGGGCGAACTGGTAATCCGGATCACCAAACCTGCCGCGGACCGCTGCCTCGAACTCGCGCCACGTCGACCATCGCGATTTCTTTATTCGATACCATTGGAGAGCGATACCGGTAAGAAAAAACGGGAGACACTTGAACAGGTCCCCGTTCGCGATAGGCACTAACTCTCGACCTTCCTCAATCCGCATGAGGAAGGTCTCTACGTCGTAACCGCGTGCGCCCGAGAAGCTAAGGTTCCAGCGACGCATGGTGTTGTATGCGTCGCTGGCCGATATATGCCGATAATGTGCGCTCACTTAATCGCGATCGAGAGTCGGGAAACGACGATCTGAATACGGTCTGTGGCTCAAAAGCCGCCGGAAACCTGTCGCGCGATAACGAGAGCAGCGGCGGTACTAGTACGCGCGCCGTCGGTGGAACGGTGGTCGGTGACCTTGTGGAGCTTTCTTTTTTAGCGGTAATGGCCCCGGTTTTTCGGAGCCCGGTAACGAGTGATCAAGGCCTCCTTGATCCAGTAATCCCTACTCTGCCAAGCCACCGGCCTCGTCCTCGGGGACCTCCTCAATCGGGAGGTCAAACGCCGATAGCGTCGCGTCCACCGCGGGCGACGGCGGCACGGAATCACGACGCCTTGCGCGCTTGTAGCGCGTCACCCGCGCCCGCAACGCCGATATTGTACCGGTCGTGACCAAGCTCCGCGTGGCGGCTTCTTTCTCGAGCTGTTTGAGTGACAGCTCCAGGATCCACACGTCGAGGTCACCCCTCGGCATTTCGGTATTTAAGCGCGATAGCGCACACGAAATATCCCGGTAACGCGAGAACGTTCACTAAATGTCACGCGGACGCGCCTCGGAACTCCGATAATAATTCGCAAACGCCGCTCGCTACTTTTCGCGTCGCGAGTCGTGATATTCACGGGTCGTCGGCACGCGACACCGTTCCGCGAACCGTCGCAAAATCCGCGACCTACTTCGTCTGTCACTTTTTTCGCGATCCCGCACACTCCGCGCACTTTCACTTTCACGGGGAGACGCCTCGTTTCGCGCACACACAAAAAAAATATTGTCAGGAGGGCCGACTTGGCTCCTCCCGAGGCACGACAAATCAAAATCAATAAAAGGATCAATCAAATTGTCACACAAATGAGAAAATACAAAAAGAAAGTAGCGCTGAGACGACAGCCTGGGTCACCACAAGACAGATAGAGACAGACGGACGACATCATCAATGGACGAGCACACCACAGTCAGAGCAGCCGCGAAGTCACGATAAAACGGTATTAAAATTCGCGAAATCTCCTTCCCAATAATCACCCGATACGGCAAGAACACAATCAGGGTCCCACGTTGGGCGCCAAAAAATTTGTGACAATGTTCGCGAGGTTTACTCGCGAGCGACGGCAGACAATCGCCTGTCAGCCGCGTCGTCAAATTGCCGTCGGCTCCGGTTCACGCCACAAAACTGAAAACGGTAGTTGGGCGCCAGGTGCGGAAAGGCCGCACCATCTCGATAAATGCGAGATGCGATATGCTACACAAAATTCGCGTGCCCCGGGAACCGTCGGGACCGGTAGCTCATGGGATCTTAAAATCAGAGACAGGATGGGTTCAGGAAGGGCGAAAATGACTCCACGCGTGTTCAAGAGTAATTAGTTTATTCGCGGGACCCTCGCACGTCCCGATAAGAAGCGCGGCAAAGTTCACAAAGATAGTCGTTAATCGTGATACGGTAATGTGTTCGCGACAATGAAAAACCCGAGGAGAATCTCCTCGGGTGAGCCTTAAGACACGCGGCCGTTCCGCGGACGGGACAACGGTACACGAAGAAAAAAGTAACGATATGATCGACAAAACACTGAGCAGATGAGAGGTCTTACAATAACTCGGCGGGTCGCCCTGCATACGGCGTTGGCGATGGCGGCGGCGCGATCCTCCTCGGAGACGGCTGTAGTTCCCGGGTCGCGCTCCGGCTCCGCTCTCTCTCCCCCCCCTCTCTCTCTCTCTTTCTCCCTGTCACTCCTTGCTTGCTCTCTCACTCTCTCCGCCCCCCTCTATCGCTCACTCTTGGCACGCACGGTAATTTTCTCTATTTGGCGGTATAGCGTCCGATCGCGGCGACAGTCGCGGTAAGGAGGCAGAAGGGCGATAAGGAGGAGGCAGAAAGGGAGAGAGAAAGAAACCTCCTGACTAGAGGGATCTCCTCTCATACATCGCCGCGTAGAGACGACTCTCCTTCCAGCTGATTGTGACTGTGGGGTAGAGAGAGCTGCCTGAAGTTGACTTGGGTGAGAGTAGTGGTGCATGCACGCTATGCTGCTGCTGTATGGACAGCACAGGTCATACGATCGGCGTGCACGGCAACAACGCCTGTTGGGGTGTTTATCACCTTAGCGGGGAGGTAGTCGCTGAAGAATGCTTTGTCTGGGCTGGGTCTCCCAATTCGGAAGCGGCGCTCGGGTAAGGGACAGCTGGGAGAATTGGTGTAACTCCCAACTGCAAATTAGTCAGGTTTAGCGTGTCAACGCTTGCTGGGGGTCACCTGGAACGTCATGCGCAAGCGGTTCTCCGGGTGATCCTGGGTGACAGCAGAGGTAGGG